AGCAGGAACTTGAAGGGCTGGAGGCAGTGGACGCAGTGGGTCTCGTTCAGGTGACCCTGATTCGTCAGGAACGCTCTCTTGCTGCTCTCCTGGTCGATCTTGCATTTCAGCTCCCTGTGGGAAAAATCCCAGACAAAGGAACGTGCATCAGGGGTCGAGACAGGGATACAGGTAGAGCAAGGCCACCGGTCAGCCGACACACCAGTTGTCAGGCAAACACCAGCCCAAAGGCTGCTCCCACTCCCGCCGTCGTGCATCTGCAGCGACCTCAAGGAAATCCACGGTACCGCTCCGGTTTTCACACTCGAGCAGAATTTCTCCACTAAGTGATATTTTTATTCACCCCGGATGCTTTTTCCAGCATAATGTAACCTCACAGAGCTCTGCCACCCCTCACATGACAAAGTCCGTAACACTTAATCGTTTTAGAGAACGATTTTCCAGGGAACGTCCCGAGTCCCGCGGCCTGTGGAAAACAGCTGTAGGGCAGGTCTAATTTAGTAACGCATCACGGGTTAAATAAGCAGAGCAAAGAAGCGATGCTGGGCTCCAGATACAGCTCAAGTTACTACATGTTGGGGTCTGCCACTGTTAAATTTCAGACTCGATCTGGCTGTGCCAAAATCCGTCCCGTTCCCCTCGCAGGGTATTGACTATAAACACCAGGAACCCCAGCAGGGCGACTGCTCTCACAAAGACTCTGGCCACATCCCAACCCCGCCGTGACCTTCAAGCCTGGAGTCCAGCCGGGAATTAAAAGCTTTTCTGGAGTTGTTAGCCACAAAAAGCAATCAGAGATTAAAAAGGACGTGTCAAGCAACCTTAGCGAATGATCTGACTAGAGAACTAGCCACAGTTCAGAAAAAAACAGGTTATATTCAAAACACGTTTCTATGAGCTAGGGCTCGGGGAAGCAGCAGCCTGGAACAACCCAAAGGAGAGAGGGGACCCTTGCACGCACTGATCCGTGCTGGACCGAGTGTCAGCCTGCCGGGATTTCACCACCCGTTCCGGCTGGGTTTTAAACGAGACCTCCAGTGTTAAAATCAGCAGAGGTTTTTATTAAAGGCAGAAGTGACACGCAGCGAGGTTCTGCCTGTCCTGGAGGACACGGCCGCAGGAGATGTTCATGCCAGGCCATCTCAACCAACCAACCAACACAAGCGCTTTCAAAGAGCCCGCTCTCCTGGCACTCTGCTTCACAGCAGGCTTTCCCGGCTACCCAGACCAGGTTGTTAGAGCAGGTCCCCGCACAGGAAGCCGCCTGTCCAAGGCTGAACCCCCAGCGATAGCCGGGGTCAGCTCAAATGCACGTTACAACCTACCGAGCTGCCCAGCACCTCCACGTTGAAGGCAAGGACCTGCTGCGTTACCTGAAGGCTTTCTGTTTGTCCTCTGTGCAACGCACTCGCTCAGATGTGTTTGTCTTTTGGGCTACGGTTTAAAGATGGTGTTTGATTTGTAGGGAAGGGCCTAGAAGGCTTGTTTTCGGTACAGGCAGGGTAAGGAAGCTGCGTTTGCCAGCACGGAAATCAGCCTGGGCCAGAAACCTCAAGCAATCAGGTGGCTTCACAGGCTTTGCACCCTATCTGGTTAGCTCCACCTTTGCTAAACTTTCTTCTGGGGCTTCCTGATGGAGATGGGTAAAGCTTAAGGGCTAGATTAAGAAAGCCAGACTCCCACCGCAGCAGTCTTGTCTGTCTGTCGTCACGAGTGCCGCGAATACAATCGAACAGCAAATCTCTGTTTAACCAAATCAGTTTGCTCCTTAGGGATAAGCTCTCATTTTTTTCCCCCTGGGAAGACCTTTATAACCAGCTTGCTGCCAGCACCTCGCGCCGCGTTCGCTGTTACACTGCAGCGCTATTATCAACTTACACTAACCGAGGATCTGGAACGTATTAAAAGCAGCATAAAGACTGAATCGGACCCCAAGTTCTTACATTCGCTATCCTGGTGGCTTTTCTGGCAGCTCAGTGCAAATACTAAGCAGTAAATTTGTATGTGGCTATTAAACCCCAAAAGAGAAAAACCCACAGAGGTGCAGGCTGTGCCAGCTTTACAAACCACCTTCTAACCACACCAGTCAAGGAAGCAGGCCTGTTTCTACTTGCACTTATTTTTGCTTTTAAAACAGGCACTGCAGGTACCTAAATCAGTGCTCTGATCTTACCCCCAGCAACACGGCAGCGTTCAAGCCAGAGGATTAAAAAAACGAAGAGGAGGAAGCAGGTCTCTTAGGGCCGCTGCTTGCCTTTGGACGTTCATCTACGGCTTTGCAGAAAGGGCCTACCTGGCCATGGTTTTCAGGTGCCGTCCCAAAGCTCTGGGTTGTGCCCAGCGGTCCTTTTCCGCTCTACCCTCAGGCTGTTTGCAGCAGGATGTAATCTTTCCCTGAACTGCTTTCTCTTGTTTTCAGAGCCGGTCAGACCCCTTCACCCCCACCCCGCCTTGCCCTTGGAAGGACAAGTCTCAGCCAAACCAGTTGAAAACCCGGACGCTGTTTAATTTCTCAAGCGAAGCGCTCCCCTCGCATGGGAAAGGCAGTTTCTGGCCAGCTGAAGCTTTTGTCCGTGTCTAATGAATAGCTTTTTGCAAAAAAAAAAAAAAAGAAGAAGAAGAAAAAAAAAAAAGAAAAAAAAAAAGAAAACACAGAGGGGAAGCAGAAAGGGAAGAAAAAGACCAAGGAGGGGTGAACGTTCCTCCACGGCTTGCGTGTTGGGACAGGCCGAGGGAAAGGAAAACCGAAGGGGGGTCAGAGCCAAGAGAGAGGACGGCTGCCCACCGGTCCTCCAACAATAAGGGCCTGTCACATCGTGTCCCAACTCGTCGCAGGCAAAAAAAAAATGCTCGCACATCCCCCCATCCGGCAAGCGAGAGCGTGGCAGCCTCTCCCACCCCGGGGCACTCGTCTGACGGTCTGTGCCAGGCGTTACGTAAAGATCTGACGGCGGGCCCGTGCTGGGACCGAGTCTGAGGCAGCCCCGCAAGCTTCAAGGTCAGCTTGAGGAGCCCGAAGCCAGCGCTCCAAGCGCCCGTGCGGCAAGGAGAGGACGAGACATGCTTGCCTGTATTCATGGAATAACTTTCACTCAGGTGAAATCGCCTCCCATCCGCACTGCCCGGACAAGCGGGACTGCTTATCCCGCCGGCGACCTCGGGGAGGCTCGGACAAAGCTGCCTCCGTTTCCCTCGTACTGACTTTGGATCCAAACTTCCTCCTGCCTTTGGCTTTCGTTTGCAAAGCCGATCATCCCGTGGGGGAGGAAAAAAAAAAAATCAAACCTTGCACACACGAAGCGCCTTTCTTCAGGCTCTTCTCTAGAGCTTACCAAATCCCTGCTCTCCTCTATAAGCTTCCGCAGTGGCGGACACCACAGAGTTAATGCAAACCTTCCCGGGGGTAGAAAGCAATTAATGTGGTAGAACAGGACATTTCAGAGGCTGCAGCATTCCTGGCGTGCCCCCGAGCTCGGCGGCACCGAGCCGGCTTGCGCCTGGTCGGACTGAAAAACAAAACGGAGAAACCAGATTCGGCACCCTAAGCCCTGGCGCTCACTTTGGGAGCTTTGTGGGCATCCGAGTGGACCTGCGCAAGCCAGGCTGGCGCCGAGGGCATGTCGGCAAGGAATTGGCATCGCCTGCTTCTTTGCTGCAGGGCACAGCAACGTCTGCTCCCACCTTTTTCCTCCAGGTAAAGCTCAGTGCCGTCTTCAGAGAGACACCTAGCCTTCCCAGGGAGTCGTATATATTTTTAAACGCCCTTGTCCCATCTCCATCCTGCACTTCAGAGCTACCAGCAGAGGAAGGCAGTAGACGATGATGCTGCATTATCTCCGCCGCCCACGCAGGCTGGATTTTCTTAGACAAAAGATAAGCAGGAGAGTCGAAAACTCGTGACTGAGAACTTTCTGATGGCTGGACGGGGCGCTCTGAGCAGACAACGGACGAGACGGCTCAGCACGGCAACCCTATCAGTGCGAGCCGGTTGCACAGGAATTTTGGCCTGCTGCCAGCCAGGGGTGCTGAATCTGGCCGAGCTCTGCGGCGGCGCGGCGAGCGGCAGGTACGCACGGCTACGTCGCCTGCGAGTTTCTCTCGCCTGCTTCGACCAGAAACGCAAACGCACCCAAACTCACCCGTCCCCAGCCAAGCGCTCAGACGCGTGCTATGAAACACCGCGTAGAAGCGGTTTGCCAGGCAGAGGTGATGGGCAGTCCTGCACGGGAAGCCCACAGCCGCCAGCTTTCTGGGGATGCTTCTCAAGACCCCGCTGTCACTGGGGAAACAAAGCACCTACAAGCTGACTTCTCCCCAAAGCTGCTGTAAAATTGAATGTGAACGGCCCTGGTTTTGGCCTTTTTCAGCAACAAACTGCTAAATCCTGTGAAAAAGGTACAAAAGGATGCAGTCGTCTTCTAAATCAACATGTTGCACAAGAAGACGGCTGGACTGAAGCCAGCAGCAGGTATTTCTCACATTTAACAAACTCACCAGCAACAGCTAATCATACCTGTTTGCCTCGGTACTGCACTTCGAGTGTCTGTTACCTCTACTCCTTCACCGACTGAGCTTCGACCCTGCTCAGATGCAGATGCTCCCAAGTGAAGATCGAGGGAGTATGACCCTCACCCACACCATCCCTTGTCACTCCTTCTTGATCCTTTTTGATATCTCTAGAGAGAAATCAAGGAGCTCCCAGTCCCTAGACGGTGGCTGAGCCATCTGGCTGGCCTGTGAAACCCAGAGCTAAGTGGGGTTAGCAGAAGTGCAGCACTGCCTAAAGGTGGCCTTGGAGCACTGTCTGTCACATTCAGACAAAAAGGAAAACTTAGCCAAACCCTAACTAGGCTGAACAGGGATGCTGCAGCTGCTTAAAATAAATCCAAGAAACTTTTGAGGTCAAGGTAATGAACAAGGCCAGGGAATCTTCTCACGCTCAAAATTTCAACTGATCAGGCAGAACGTTTTTTTAACCTGCACTTTTGTCTAGTGTCCTAGGTACAAGAACTTGGATGATATCTCAATCTGCTGTTCCAGTGATTTTTCAGTCTTTGCCCACTCTGCAGATCCTTAAAATTTCCCGAGAATGGCATAGACCCCTGTACAGCATACCTAAGCCTACTGACAACAGGTTTATTCCTCTCAGTTATCCTCCAAGGATCCTCCAGAAGGCACCTGTAGACTCCCAGGACCCCCGAACACCCTCCTGTAGCGAATGCATGAGAACTGTTAAATAAAACAAAGGCAAGGGAGCCAAATCTGATCGCTTTGCTCTAAAGTAAGTTCTCCCTGTGAAATCCATACAGGTATCAAACCCAACTGCAGCCAAAGGCATTTCCTCAGCGGGGCCAGAAACTTAAGACACATAAACGGTCTGTTTTACGGGTATCTGCGTCAATGCTCACGCCCCATGGAAGAATGCCAGTTTTGCACCTTTGCAGCCAGAAAGCATCACCTTGCAGCTGATAACTTATTAATCACTACGTGTGAGTCACAGTCAGGTCCTGGCTGTTCCTCCTCGCTTACAGATTCAATCTTTTGCTTTATTTCTACATCCCCTCCTCAGCAGGACATACGGGAATCGATGGCCACGGCTTCCTTCAGCAAGCATCA